TCTATGCAAAAATAGTTCAAACATTGGAAAACAGTTAAAAATTTCACGCACCAGCACATGAAAGCTTAATTCGAAACCTTGAAGGTTCCCGAGTTAATAGTTTACCCGCCAAAATTTTCACAAGGCCGTCCGTGGTACCCGAGAACGTGAGAACGCTGAATTTGAATGGGCAAGGTTGAGCGTGGGCAGGAGGTCATTCCCCTAAAATTTCAACCCCCTAGACTTCGTGATTCCCGAGATATTAACTTACCCGTGAAAAGATTTCACGGGGCCGTAGGTGTTACCCGCGGGTACGGGAAGGCTGAATTTGGATGGGTAAGGTTGAGCGTGGGCAGGGGGTCACCACACTAAAATTTCAGCCTTCTAGACTCCGTAGTTCCCCGGATATTAAATTACCCGTAAAAAACTTTCACGGGGCTGTACGAGTTACCCGCGGGTACGGGGAAGCTGAATTTAAATTTGTAGGGTCACACGTGGGTGGGGAACGTTCCCCTAAATTTTCAGCTTCCTAGCTTTTGTGGTTCCCGAGATGAAAGTTGCGGACAAGTTGCTGCGGACACACACACACACACACAAACACACACAGGCAAACCGGTGACAATATGCGTTTCGTACTGCTGTTACACAGCACAAAAGGCATAATTACTAAAATTCGGCTCAGCTCAGCCGCACAAAATGTATCTGTTTTTGAGAAAATACACTCGTTCTTGCATTTATAGAAAGACTGCAAAAATAATACTCTTACCACAAGTACCAAATTTTTTATTCGGCGAGACTTTGAAGTGTAAACACCAAGCTTATCTGGTTTCGCCCAGCAGATAGTTTCTTGCTTCGCATTATTAACCAATATAATCCGTAGTTCCTAACTCTTATTTCTATTTCCAGGCAGAATTTAAGTCCCTTTCCTGGCAGTTTTCAATCCTACACCCTACACCCTTTGGTCATAGCAAAGTAGACGGATCAGTTTTTAAATGAATAAAATTCCAAAAATCATCAACCTGGTCGCTCTTCCAGCAACGACAAAACACTTTTTTAGCACCAAGGTCCTCCATATCAACCGAATCCACCACCTAAAGTGAATAAAACGGCTAAATACAGTAGAAATCGACAAGGAATCTTTGAACAACCCATCTTTATGTATTTTTGAGAGTAAACCCAATATCCTTAGAAATTTCTACTCGACTAACTTGTACGGGGCAAAGCGGTTTTGAAGGAAGTTGAACGTTAGTTAGCTGAACCATCTCATTCAGATACAGGTGCTATCTCATGTATTTTTAATGAACAAAAAAAGCAAGGTCATGAATCCCACAATCGCTGGTAGCTCGACAAAAAATATAAGCTTTGAAAACTTGATCCAAATTTTGACGAAGCTACATACTGGAAAAATACCTTATCGGAGGAAAGTCTAATTTTATTGTTGACGCGGCATTTCTTTTTTGTAAACTGTACACCGATGTAGTAACCGAGCAGTGCCGATGCAGCCAAAGCTCCAATTCCAATCAACCAATCCATCTTAGTATGACAAGTCTCTGAAATAGCGAAAAATCATCATTTTCCATAAATATGTTTCAAAGCTCATAAATGG